TTGTATACTCTGGATATTAGGGCTCTATCTGAAGTGTGAGGAGTAAAAATTTGTTCCCAGGATGTAGGCTCTCTATTTACCTCTCTTATTGTATCTTTTGCTGAGAAAAAACTTTTTAGTTTGAGTAAGTCCCATTTGTTGATTCTAGTTATTAACTTTTGTGCTATGGGTGTCCTATTGAGGAATTTGGAGCCCGACCCCACAGTATGTAGATCATAGCCAACTTTTTCTTCTATCAGGCGCAGAGTCTCTGATTTGATATCAAGCTCCTTGATCCATTTTGAATTAACTTTTGTGCATGGCGAGAGAAAGGGATTCAGTTTCATTTTGTTGCATATGGATTTCCAGTTTTCCAAGCACCATTTGTTGAAGATGCTATCCTTCCTCCATTGCATGCTTTTAGACCCTTTATCAAATATAAGATAGTTGTAGTTTTGTGGATTGGTTTCTGTGTCCTCTATTCTGTACCATTGGTCCACCCGCCTGTTTTGGTACCAGTACCATGCTGTTTTTGTTACTATTGCTCTGTAGTATAGTTTGAAGTCTGGTATCGCTATACCGCCTGATTCACACTTCCTGCTTAGCATTGTTTTTGCTATTCTGGGTCTTTTATTTTTCCATATGAATTTCATGATTGCTTTCTCTATTTCTACAAGAAATGCCGTTGGGATTTTGATTGGCATTGCATTAAACCTATAGAGAACTTTTGGTAATATCGCCATTTTGATGATGTTAGTTCTGCCTATCCATGAACAGGGTATATTTTTCCATCTTCTAAGATCTTCTTCTATTTCTCTCTTTAGGGTTCTGTAGTTTTCATTGTATAAGTCTTTCACCTCTTTTGTTAGGTTGATTCCCAAGTATTTTATTTTTTTTGAGGATATTGTGAATGGAGTGGTTGTCCTCATTTCCATTTCAGAGGATTTGTCGCTGATATACAGGAATGCCTTTGATTTATGCATGTTGATTTTATATCCTGCCACTTTGCTGAATTCATTTATTAGCTCTAATAGTTTCTTTGTAGACCCTTTTGGGTCTGCTAGGTATAGAATCATGTCATCTGCAAATAGTGATAATTTAAGTTCTTCTTTTCCTATTTTGATGCCTTTAATTTCTTTCGTCTGTCTAATTGCTCTGGCCAGTGTTTCGAGAACTATGTTGAACAGAAGTGGTGAGAGAGGGCATCCCTGTCTTGTTCCAGATTTTAGAGGGAATGCCTTCAATTTTTCTCCATTCAGAATGATGCTAGCCTGAGGCTTAGCATAGATTGCTTTTACAATATTGAGGTATGTTCCTGTTATCCCTAGTTTTTCTAGAGTTTTGAACATAAAGGGATGCTGTACTTTGTCGAATGCTTTTTCTGCATCTATCGAGATGATCATATGGTTCTTATTTTTAAGTCTATTGATGTGGTGAATAACATTTATTGATTTCCATATATTGAACCAGCCTTGCATCCCAGGGATGAATCCTACTTGATCATGGTGCACAATTTTTTTGATATGTTTTTGTATCCGATTTGCCAGAATTTTATTGAGGATTTTTGCATCTAGGTTCATTAGAGATATTGGTCTGTAGTTTTCTTTCTTTGAAGTGTCTTTGTCTGGTTTAGGTATCAGGGTGATGTTGGCCTCGTAGAATGAATTTGGAAGTTCTCCCTCTTTTTCTATTTCCCGAAGTAGCTTGAAAAGTATTGGTATTAGTTCCTCTTTAAAGGTTTTGTAAAACTCTGCTGTATACCCATCCGGTCCTGGGCTTTTCTTAGTTGGTAGTCTTTTGATGGTTTCTTCTATTTCCTCAATTGATATTGGTCTGTTTAGGTTGTCTATATCCTCCTGACTCAATCTTGGCAGATCATATGACTTAAGAAATTTATCTATGCCTTCACTATCTTCTAATTTATTGGAGTATAAGGATTCAAAATAATTTTTGATTATCTTCTGTATTTCTGAAGTGTCTGTTGTGATATTGCCTCTTTCATCCCGTATGTTAGTGATTTGAGTTCTCTCTCTTCTTCTCTTCGCTAGCATGGCTAAGGGTCTGTCGATTTTGTTTATTTTTTCAAAGAACCAACTTTTAGTTTTGTCAATTTTTTCAATTGTTTCTTTTGTTTCGATTTCATTAATTTCAGCTCTGATTTTAATTATTTCTTGCCTTCTACTTCTTTTGCTGTTGTTTTGCTCTTCTTTTTCTAGGATTTTGAGATGAAGTATGAGATCATTTATTTGTTGTTTTTTTCTTTTTTTAAGGAATGAACTCCAAGCAATGAATTTTCCTCTTAGAACTGCTTTCAATGTGTCCCATAGATTCCGATATGTTGTGTCTGTGTTTTCATTAATCCATAAGAATTTTTTAATTTCCTCCTTGATGTCTTCTATAACCCATTGATCATTCAGTAACCTATTGTTCATTCTCCAAGTGATGTATTCTTTTTCCTTCCTTCTTTTATCGTTGATTTTCAGTTCCATTCCATTATGATCAGATAGGATGCATGGTATTATCTCTACTCCTTTATATTGTCTAAGAGTTTCCCTGTGACATAATATATGATCTATTTTTGAGAAGGATCCATGTGCTGCTGAGAAAAAAGTGTAACTGCTTGATGTTGGGTGGTATATTCTATATATGTCAATTAAGTCTAGGTTATTAATTGTGTTATTGAGTTCTATAGTTTCCTTATTCAACTTTTGTTTGGAAGATCTGTCCAGTGGTGATAGAGGTGTGTTGAAGTCTCCCATGATTATTGTATGGTGGTCTATTAGACTCTTGAACTTGAGAAGAGTTTGTTTGATGAACATAGCTGCACCATTGTTTGGGGCATATATATTTATGATTGTTATGTCTTGTTGGTGTATGGTTCCTTTGAGCAGTATGTAGTGTCCCTCTTTATCCCTTTTGATTAACTTTGGCTTGAAATCTATTTTATTTGATATGAGTAAAACCTAATGTTAATTCTAGCATGGGAAATAAGCACAAATGTCATAAAATGGCTAAAAGACCAGCCATTAAATTGAAGAGTGTTGTGTGTTAGCAGACATTCAAGACCACAAACTTTGACCGCAACTTCTCCTGTGTCCAAACTCCCTCAGATCATTACCACAGGAATATTCTTTCCATGAAATTTAGGAAACCCCATGCACCTCTCAAAACATCAGAAAGCTGTATTTAAGTGAGGAAATTCTCCTCTTTCAGGTGGGTGTGTGTTTCTGTGAAGTATCTCATATATGCCATAAGGGAGATAAGGTGGACAAAACATTGCCACTATCCCATAGCACCAACTAGGTTAATTAGTATTCTAGTTTTCAATCAAATGGCAACCCCCATAAATCATGCCCCTTTCCTATCTATCAGGCCATACTGACTCCTTCACTTAAATCTGTAACAGATTAACTAGAACTCCAAAGTCCTGATGTCATCTTCATATTGGCCTTGAGGTCTATATCCTAATGTGACCTAGATGGACCTTTCACTCCATAAGCTAATTCCAGGAGGGACTCACTACTCAGGGATTCCCTTGCCAAGAGTCATACCTGGGAGGTGGGGAATGGGCAGCATTGGAGGATAGGACTATAACAAAAGGTGTAGAATTTAAAAAACAGAGGTAAAATTTCAAGAAGATTCTGGTTTTTCCAGCTGGATAATCTTGGAACCTATTATATACTGGAGAGTTCATGGTCAGGCTGCATGGTCTGATCGAGAACCTACTTGGTCTCTGATCTCATATCATAAATACTTCCTAAAAGATCCAGTTCAACTGAAAAGAACCCATCCAATCAATGTGTCACAAGTGACTTTACCATCACGGAATCGAATCAAGTAGAAGATCCTGGGGCTCCTGAACCATGTCCAGAAATGAAAAAGCATGACTTTGACCTTTAAGATTGATAGGATCTCTGGTGTTACCAATATCCCAGGCTAAGAAGCTGATGGAGTAACTGCAATGATCCTTGAGTAGAGCAGATTCTTCTCTTGCTACCAAATCTCCTCAGAGATGCAGAGTGCCAGGAGCAAGGCAGAGGGGCAGTCCTGAGGTACAGCCTCTGGCCTCTCCTGAGGAAAAGCGAGGTGTGCATCGTCAGAACTGCACTGAGAAGAGTCCCCAGGACACCTGTCCACAAGCTGCTGCTACTTCTTCGGCTTCTCTAGAATGTTGAGGAATTTCCCCCGTGTCATCTCTCTGGCTTTGTTAATTTCATGCTCCATGAAGTTCTGTAGAATCTCTTGTTGTACCACTCATCCAGCCCCAGTTGATAGGCCAGGTTCTGTAGGCCTCGTACCTTCTCCATCAAATTAGCTGTGGTGAGACTTCCCAGTTCTTTCAACATGTCAATGTCATCCCGTTCTATTTCAGCCATCCATTTGGGTGGAGAGCTAGTAATAGGACTTTTGAAGGAAGCTGCAAATTCAGCAACACCTGGTAATTGTTCTGGCCAAAGATCTGGTGAGGCACGGTCAAGTTTTTCAAAACTTAGCAAAGATGCTTCCAAATCTGTCCCGTCTGTGGGAGACGCCATCTTCCGACCCATGTCCAATTAACTCTTATTTCTACTAATTTTTTGCATTATTGACATACCTGAAATGAAAACCAATGTAAAGAACCATGAGAAATATCTTAAAAATGAGGTGGAAGCAATTTTAAATATCATCTCTTAGAATATAGGTTGAAACTGATTTTCAGGAAAAAACTGGAAGCAGAAACCAAAATGGTAGATAAAACTTTCTCTTATTTTTTCCTTTTCCCCATTTCTCTATTGCTTTCCATTATTTTTGTTGCTCTTCTTTTTTATTGCAGACTTCCAATATATATAATAGAAAAGAGCTACTTATGGCTCCTAAATTTATATCTTCTCTATTTAAGAAATCAACCAAACCATGTCTTTATTATCATATGCCCAATTTAAATTTCCTGCCTTAGTGGAACAAAAGGCCTAGCACGTGTTCAACCAAATTTATGCCTTCAGAGAATGTCACATTTTAAGGACATGGCTTCTGAAGGACCAGTGCTGTAATCATATGTGTAGAGGAGATTAATTTGGAAAGATACTGAGAAGATATTTGCTAAATCTTCCCTTCCCTTTGGAGGTTAGTCTCTGTATTGCTCTACTTTTTAGAAGATGTGCTTTCCAGAATATAAAAAATTTCCTGTATGGAGGAGTTTTTGTGGAACTTATCTTTAACACTGCTGAAATACTATACTGTAAGACCTTGATATCCATAAAAATATTATTTTGGAGAGTTCATACCCAAGCTGTTGTCCTAGGATACATCTTTATTTTTCAATATTTCATTTTTTTTAAACTGATGCCTGTTGTCCTCCTTATTCAAGATCCCTGGGTATATATTTGATGAATACCCTATGTACAGTTAAATAATCATTTTATAGTGTTTACCTTTTATCTGCTATGGAAAAAGTCAGCCCTCCAAACACACACACACACACACACACACACATATATATATATTATCAAAGGTACTAAGCAAAATCATCATAGGAATGAATTCTTTTCATTAAGAAATAACAATTCTACATAGATGTGGTATCTCTAAACAATTTATTTAGCATCATTTATAAAAAAATGAATAATGTATTTAAAATCAATCAACTATTTTAAATATTACTGAACTTGAAAATTCTAATTAATTTTAGGATATGTACTTCATATTTTTATGTACTTTACATTTTTCTCCTTTATTTTCCTGTAAAAATATATAATTATATAAATTTATTCATATAAAATTTATATAAATTATATATAAATTATATATATGTGTATATGTATATACATATACACACAAACATTTATATATATATATACATACACACAAACATATATATAACCAAAGGAATGCTCAAATTTAAGGGATTGTGCCAGTTTGTACCCAGATAATGTAAGAAGCCACAATAACAACATTTAACAATAACAAATATTTCTTTCAAAGGATTTTCTATACCTTATTCTTAATGTTGGAAAAGTCCTTATGGAACCATACTTAGTTTTTGCTCAGAGAAATGCTTACATTTTTGAGATCATGCTTTTAACAAACTTATAAATTCATCACATTTCAAGAATAATGGTATACAAGCATGTGGTAGTTATAATTAGAGAAAAGGGTCATCATAGTTCAGCTTTGTCTAAGCGTAGTGGATATAGTTAGCAACATCTGTGATAAGCTGTTACTGAGCAGCCTGGTGGTAATGACATATTCCCTGGAGGATCTTCTCTGGCTTATGAGTTTAAGTTATATTACTGGGTGCTGTCATGTTTTAATGAGCTTGGTGAGGCACATTCACATGGCCCAATCTCTTTTGCTTCTCAATAGCTACTCACAGTTGCTGAAGGTCTGGCCTGTCTTGTTTTTCCCCATGCTTCTTGAATACCATTCATCGAGGCAGAATTCACTAAGCATTATGATTGGTGCACTGCTCATCTGAGAAAACATGATGACTGGACCTAGTCCCTTCTCTATATGCCCCTATTCTGACAGGCTTCAAGTCCATAGCAGCATAGGATATGTTTGTGTGTGTGTCGGGGGGCTGGGCATGGCATCATTTCAAAGGAGAGCTACTGATATTGTTGTGACATTCTTAGTCTGCACGAATTTTGTTTCAATTTAACCATTTTCAAAAATTAATGCTTTGTTAAGCCCTTTGTAACACGAATAAGAACGAAATAAAAACAAAACCTATAGACCCAACCACAGTTGGTGTATTTGAATCCTGAGGTTGCCAAGACAAATTACCATTGACTCTGTGGCTTAAAATAATGGATTTACATTTTTTCACCAATGTGGAAGCTAGAAATCCAATGCCAAGGTGTGAACAGGACTGATTCTTTCTGAAGTCTCTTATAATCGGTTGCATATCTTTTTTTTTTAGCTTTCAGTGATTGTTAATAATCTTTCCTAGCTGTGTCTTTTCTCTGTCTGCCTCCATCATTACATGACGTTTTCTGTGAGTCTGTCCTCTATGAAAACATGGGTGAATGGATTTCTTGCCGTCCATATTTCAGTATGACCTCATTTTAATTTCCATCTTAATTGCATTTGCAATGATCCTACTTCCCAAAAAGATCTCATTTATAAATACTGTTAAATAATAGTTGAATTTAATTTTTATTTTTTGGGTGGGACACAATTCAACCCATCATAGTTGGATTTGGCTCTACAACCTTGCTTGACTCATATTACTTCTTTCTCACTGTATTCCATCACCAAAATCCAAATTCTACTTTTTCATATTTCTTTAGAAGATTCAATTATTGAGTGGAACTTTGGAAATTATCACCAATTAACATGAGCTATCTTTGTTAGTAAATTCAATAGAAATTAGTTTCAAGATCCCCACAACATAGATAAATGAAGATATGAAGGAAAAATATCAAAACATTCCTTAATGGGTAGCATTTCATGTTTCCATAGGACAAATTTTTCAATCACTTAATAGTGTTGAAATTTAATTCAAGAAAGAGGACTTTGTTGGAAGTTCAAGGCCAGTCTGGGTAACTTAGGGAGACTCTAAAAAAGGGCTGGAAATGTGACTCAGTGGTAGAATGCCCTGGATTCAATCCCCATTACCAAAAACAAACAAACAAACAAACAGAAAAACAGTCTTTGATCCCCACTAAAGGAAAGCAGTGTTGAGATATGGAGATAATTTAACAGAAAAGATGTTACATCTTGATTTTAAACTATTGGCAGTACAGGAACACAGATAAGTAATTTTTTTCAATTATTTTGAAGTAGAAGTAGAAGTAGAAGTATACTTATATTAAGTCTAAGATTGATCGTACAATTTTCAAAAACAGTCCTTCTCAGAGCAAATTGGCTTAGTGGTCACTCCACTAAGAATTAGTCTGATGCTTTATCACCCTGTGGTAACAACATAGGTTCATACCCTTAACTGTTCATAAATTAAGCCATTGAAACATCTTTGCCCTAAGCTTAGTTTGGAAACATCCAGTGTGGATCCACATTTTTTACTACCCTTCTTTACTTTACAGCTATCTCGAGCATTCGTCTTTTAGCATGGCCTTCTCTTTGTTACTTTGAAAAATTCCTTTCCTTACATCATGTACAATCACAAGACTGGGATCCTAATTAGAATAAGATGTACTCTATGTTTGTATAAATCAAATTACACTCTACTGTCATGTATAACTTAAAAGAGCAACAAAAAAATTCCTTTCTTTTTAGATGGGACACCAGTCTTGATTTTCCATAAAAAAAGCCAGTACAGTTAAACAACAACAACAACAACAACAAAAGATCCTTTCTGCCCCTTTACTTGTGTACTTGACTTTTATCTCCTTTACTCAGACAGTGAGTGACATAGTAAAGTGACTAGTGTCTCCAACCCGACAAATCTGGAGCTTTTACTCTGAGTGTAAAATGTGTATGTTATGTGTATATGGAAGATATTGAAATTCTTTGCTTATAAATTCACATTACTGACCACATAGCATTTCAGCCAAGAACAAGCTATAGATTAAGTGATTTATTAATCTATTGATGGACTTACATATTATTTTTAATTTTCCCGTTTCCTTTAACTTTTATACATTGTATCCGTAAGATAATTTAAGAATAAAAGTTATTGGATGTGTGGCCCACTGAAGAATTAGTTCCAATGCTTTATCACCCTGTGGTAATAACATAGGTTCATACCCTTAACAGTGCTTTATGATAGAGCATACATTCCTACCTCTTGACTTGGGTTTGGTCATATGATTTGCTATAACCAATAGAATTTATGTAGGCAGGATATGAACATAAGCTTGAAATATACTTGTGTGTTTGAACTTGATCTTACTTTTGGAGATATGAGATTATACTCCAGGTAGGCAATGTGTAGCTTATACTCTGGAAGGAGACATGTGGAATGGACCTCTTTTCCCAGGGAACCACTGAATAGTTTATTATCTCCCTGATTCTATGGGTTAGGGATAGGGGCACAATTTAGCAGGGTTCTCTGGTTCAGAGTGTCTTGCAAGACTGAAATCAAGGTGTTGACAAGGGCTGCAAGTGTCTCAAGGTTCAAATAGGAAATAATTTATACTTTTATACATTGTATCCATAAGATAATTTAAGAATAAAAGTTCAGTCTTATGGTTGTTACCATGACTCAGTTTCTTAGAGACTATTACATTGAAGGCCTCTGTTTCTCACTGGTTGTTGGCAAGAGGCTTCCCTCAAATCTTTGCCTATCTGTAGGGTGGCTTACAATATGGCAGCTTGCTTCATCAGAAGGAGGAAGTGAGAAGAGGAGAGAGAAAGAGAGGAGGGAAAGGGAGAGAGAGAGAGAGAGAGAGAGAGAGAGAGAGAGAGAGAGAGAGAG